AATACACTGGAAAAAAAAAAAAAAAAAAAAAGGGCTCTGGTTTTAAAAACCGGTTTCCTGGTTCAGCCCTCCTGGGTTGGTCCAGATCCGGGTGAACCGGGGGAGGTGAAGCAGCCGGTTACTGGCCCAGCCCTGCTCTTAACTTTTTTTTTTTTTTGCTTCGGCACAGTGTTCGATTGACCACATGGCGGTGTATCTTTCCATGTTGTAGCGGACGATACATTCTCAATTTGCACATTGGGTGAGCAGTGGGGTGACACCTTGCGATGGAGGTGTATCTTTCCACGTTCTAGCGGAAGATTCCCTCTCAATTTGCACATCGGGTGAGCAGTGGAGCAATGCCCTTCGATGAAGGTGTATCTTTCTGCGTTCTAGTGGGAGATTCATTCTGAATTTGCACATTGAGTGAACAGTGAAGCGATGCCCTATGTTTGAACAGAAGTTCATAGTAAGCCTGCCTCGACGTGGCCACAGACTCTTCCCCCCCGCTTGAGTTTTTTTTCTTCCTTTCTTGCACAGGGGCTATCGAGGACGGATGACCAACAGTAGGAAGAGGAGGATGACTGCGACAAATGGGAGGACGAGCAGGAGGAGGAAGGGGAGGACGGCGACCGGGAGGAGGAGGAGGATCTTGGGGGGGAACTCGGGAGGAAAAGGAGCAGGAGGAGGAGGGGCAGGCCCGGCAGGGGCTACTCAACATTCAACACATATCTGGATGGTTATATGCACCAGATACATTCAGACTGATCAAACTTTTTATTTTTTGTTTTGCATAGGGACCAGGTATCTTCTGCGTACGACGATCAGGAGGAGGATGGATAACGAACGCGAGTGGAAGGAGGAGCATTGGTAGGAAGAGCGGGACGAGGGGGTGGAGCACTAGGACTGGGAGGAGGGAAAGGACGACAGACGGGAGGAGGAGGAGGCTCTTGGGGGGATTTGGGAGGACGAGGAGCGGAAGGAGGATGAGGGGCCGGAGCGGGATGAGGAGCGGGAGGATGACGGCAAATGGGAGGGGGAGAATGACGAGCGGGAGGAGGAGGATGGGGAGGAGGAGGATGGGGAGGAGGAAGAGGGGGAGGAGGATGGGGAGGAGGAAGAGGGGGAGGAGGAAGAGGGGGAGGCTGAGACGGGAGCAGGAGGGGGAGGAGGACTTGGCTTGTGGCAGGAGTGGAAGGAGGGGAAGGACGGCGATGAGAGGAGTGGCTGGAGGAGGAGCATGACGAGGAGGGGGAGGATGACAAGCGAGAGAAGGACGATGATGAGGGAGAGGGAGGAATGGGAGGAGAAGAGGGAGGGCGACAAGCGGAGGAGAATGGGAGGAGGAGCAGGGCGAGGAGGGCGAGTGGGAGGAGTAACAACAGGAGGAGGGGCAGGACTACACGCAAGGAAGACGAATGGGAGGAGGAGATTGCGGGGGTCCGGAGGAAGAGGATGAGGAGGAAGAGGAGCAGGAGGACGAGGAGGAAGAGGAGCAGGAGGACGAGGAGGAAGAGCAGGACGGGGAGGGGGAGGACCACCACTCGGAAGACAAGGAGAAGCAGGGAGAGGAAGAGGAGGAGGGCACAGAGCGGGGTGTGGCAGGAGGAGGATGGGTTGAGAAGGTGGCATGAGAAGGAGCGGGAGGACATGCCATTTGTGCTTTGAGCACGTCTTTATTTCCTTTTTTTTTTGAGATAGATAGACAGACACAGAGAGAGAGAGAGAGAGAGAGAGAGAGAGAGAGAGAGAGAGAGAGAGAGAGAGAGAGAGAGAGAGAGAGATTGTGCTCCCTCTCTTGTTTGTGCCACCTGCTGGGAGACGAGGGGCAGGAAGAGGTGTGCCAGGTGTAGCTTCAGCAGGCCGATTTGTTTTGTAATAATGCGTAATTTACTAATTTTTAATTTTCATGCTGCCTGAAGCAAAATATTGAAAATAATTATAAAATATTTCTGAATAAGCATGCACATGGCGATCTCATTATCACCATGTGATTCACGATAACCATGCGTGTCACCTGGTAGGCCTCACCTTTTTTTTTTTTTTTTTTTTTTTTTTGGGACACCTGTGCTTTTATGTTTTTGCAACGTCAGCATGACCTCAAATCGTTGGAGATTATCAATGGTGGTTCATGGGGTTGCGTGCATGCTGGTTTTGCAGCCGATACCAGAATGGCAGTCCATCAAGATCGATGTCCAGATCCAGAAGCCCTGTGTATGGGCGAAGGAGAAGCCCAGCATATGCACGAAGCGGAAGCCCGGCGTATGGGCGGAGCAGAAGCCCTAGGAGGAGCTACAGTCGCAGTCGAAGCAGAAGCTATAGGTAAAGTTTTGATCTCTTATGAAAAGTTATTATTTGTCTTCTGCCTCTCCTTTGTGAAAATGCTCTGCAGAATTTGTGCATCTTTTGGCTGGAATGGAAGCGGCACATGCACTCTTTTAGTATTTTATGATTTGTTTGGAGTTTGTCTTCATTGAGGTGATCAGGTGGCCGTCTCGCACTGTTTTGTTTGCAAGCAATGTCTGCAGATTGGCTCTTGAGCAAGTCCCACCCCTGTGCGTCTCATGATGGGATATAAGCCAGGAAGGGGGCTGTGACTAGACGGAGGGAGGGCAGGGAGAGAGAGAGAGAGAGAGAGAGAGAGAGAGAGAGAGAGAGAGAGAGAGAGAGAGAGAGAGAGAGAGAGAGAGAGAGAGAGAGNGAGAGAGAGAGAGAGAGAGAGAGAGAGAGAGAGAGAGAGAGAAGCATCTTGCTGTACCCTTTTCTTCCTACGGTGTCAAGTGATGTCCATTTGGGAAACACAGGTGGGGATGGAGTGTGTGTGTGAGGGGGGGAGGGAGGAGGGGAGGAGGGGAACAACACAAACAAGCAGGGTTTCAATCTCCTTATCAGTCGGTGGAAGTGTGATAAAATAGTCCGGGACGACACAAACAAGCAGGGGTTCAACCTCCTGATTAGTCGGTGGAAGCCTGACGAAACAGTCCGTCACAGTCATCCCTGTTTTCTTGCTGTTGTGTTTTAGCGAATACAAACCATGCATAGCTCTCTCTTGAGGCGGACTGGTGCTGCTAGAGTTGGGTTCGTACTAGTGGTTCATGCCAGATTATACCACCAGTACACGGCCCCAGACTTGCAGGAAATCGCGATTTGCCCACTCCGAACTTTTTTGGCGCTCGGGCCTACCGGAACACAATGGCTGGGGACGCCAGGCAAATTTGAAAAAAAGTGCACGGAAACGCTTTGCGCGCAGTGCAGCGCTTCCAGGCCCGGGTGTACTGGTGGTTACGGCTGTGACAAAATATATTCCTGGCCCTGCCACTGTTATTGTCAGGGGCTTAAAGTTTAAACTGGACAGTCTGCTAGGATTGCAAGGTTGGTGCGAGCGAACTCAATTACTTCTCTCAGGGTATCATGAATTTCGAGCAAGGTGGTCATACTTGTTCATCCGTTAAATGCATCCTGGGCAGGTTGTTGAGGTTCAACCTGCTGATGAGTTGGTCACAGCAGGCTGAGAGAGAGAGAGAGAGAGAGAGAGAGAGAGAGAGAGAGAGAGAGAGAGAGAGAGAGAGAGAGAGAGAGAGAGAGAGAGAGAGAGCTTAGGCTGTCCTGAAATGCATTTTCAGAGTTTGCTTATAGTAGTAACATGTGGATGCACCAAACCTAAGGTCTGTGTGATCCACTGTCAGGATCTTTTTGGCATTTTCAGAGTTTAATTAAACAGCGTAGTTTTGGCAGTTGAGTAGTCTCATCGGGAGTTATTGGCATATAGAGGGATCTCATCTGTCAATCGGTAGGCCTGTGTGATCCACTGTCAGGATCTTTTTGTTTACTCTTCTGTTGATGGTATTGTGGTGGCCAGAAGCGCTTTCACTTGGAACCTCGTTGTTACGAGTTGTATCTCTAACGACGGACTGTTGTCTTGTGTAGAGTCGCATTTTCGTTGGTGATGCTGCTTGCTTTTCTGACCGACTGCCAGTATGGGTGTTCAAAGGGAATGATAGTGCTTTGCCGATGTTTCTTGGCTTTCGGACTTGTGACAGTCGCAGCCAGAGCCCTGCAAAGAGGGGCCGAAGCCCTCGGCGAAGTAGGAGTCGCAGTGGAGAGAGAGATGAGAGGCGAAAGAGCCACCCTGATAACTCCCGTCCAAATCTCAGCCCACCGAGGAATGGTCGCAGTCCTGTTGATGGCCACAGGATGGGTAGCACCCGTGCCACAGCTGGTGGTGGATCTAGAGGTGTCAGTGAAGTGAAGGGTGGGGAAGGCCTTGATCAGGGTCGAGAAGATAAGAATCGGGGCCGAGCTCAAAGTCCAACAAGAGCCCGAAGCCCTGCAAGACAAGGTGTCAGCCACAGCCCTAGTACTCGTCGGGACAGTCCTGTGGTGGATGGGGGCAGGAGTCAAAGCAGGAACAGTCCTATTCCTGCTCGCAACGGAAGATCGGGAAGTCCTGCAAATGGGCCTGCCTCACACGAAAAGACTGAAAGGTCCTCTCGGCGAGAGGAAACCGGAATGGATCATCACGCTTGAGTGGAATGGATGAAATTGGATGGAGATGGTAAAGTTCGTGATGAGTGAGGTTTGGTGCAGCTGCTGCTGCATGACAAGATAATTCTCCCCTGAAGCCGTAGAGTGAGCAAGCGAGAGAGGGGGGAGGGGGGGGAAGACAAGTGTACACACACACACACACACACACACACACACACACAGAGAGAGAGAGAGAGAGAGAGAGAGAGAGAGAGAGAGAGAGAGAGAGAGAGAGAGA